TCCTTTTTTTTACTATCAAACATCTATCATCCTTATTCTCCTTTTTTTTACTATCAAACATCTATCATCCTTATTCTCCTTTTTTTTACTATCAAACATCTATCATCCTTATTCTCCTTTTTTTTACTATCAAACATCTATCATCCTTATTCTCCTTTTTTAATGTGTATGTTACTCTCTTGTAACCTTTCTAGTCTTCGGCACTTTTATGACCTTATTGTGTTGCAGGTGCCTTGTGGGTGGTTAGCGGGTGCTCTGGTGTGGTTTGCTCCTTCTTTCGTATCAAACATCTATCGTCCTGATCTCCCCTTCTTCTTTTTTTATGTTTGTTACTCTCTTGTAACACCTCTAATCTTCTGGTGCTCATATGACCTTATGCAGTTGCGAGCGCCGTAAAACCTCTACTAAAACAAAAGCAGGTGCCTTAAAACTCTTACCAAAATTAAAATAAATGTGATGTGTTTCATTTATACATCACCTGTGATTATGATCTACTTTTAACCTGTCGCGACCTCAGTGCTTTCTTGTCCTATCTCCATTTTTAATAACAGTGAAAACAGTTCATAACAAAGAGTGAGCTTAAGAAAAAGTTGCATTTTCAATGTAAAAAAAAAAAAATGGAGATAGGACAAGAAAGCACTGAAGTCCCGATTAGCTGAGTTCTGAGTTAAGAGGATGCCACTGGTATATCTTGTTTTCTGCCTCTCGTTTTTTTTGTCTTACTTTCCCAGTACTAAAGGTCTGTTTTGATTGTGTTATATGCTTCGTGTTTCTGAAACAAACAAGGAAGGTGGCAGTTGTGTTGGCGTGATGATACCGTTGTTGACCTTTTTAGTTCATTCTTGCTATTTCCTCTTTTCCAACAACCTTTCCTGTTGTTATACAGCTGTGCTACCTCTTCTCAGTCCACAAAACCACAAAACGGGGGGGAATTGGGCTGTGGTGATTCTAGCCTAGAAATAGCAATGTCAAGTGTTGATAGTCTCGGGGGGGTGGGGGGTTGATACTTAGAGCTGTAGAATATTGAATGAAGGAAATGTGGAATAATGTGTTTCATTGTGCGTATATATTTTATGACTGATTTTTCTCTTTTGCAGGAAGTGAAAAAACTCTCGTGTTTGTCGAACAAAAAAGAAACGCAGATTTCCTGGCTTCGTACTTATGTCAGTCGGGTTTCCCTACTACCAGTATTCACGGGTGAGTGACGGGCTCATGTCTAGTTGATACAAGGCTTGTCAGTACATTTCCTTTTACCTACCAGTGCATATGAGTGGGTGGTGGGTTTGTTTCGGAACTAATGATAAATAATAATAATGAAGATCATTTTTGTAGCACCCACTCCCGTGAAAACACAGCTTCAGGCGCGTTACATAAATGCATCATGTACGAACAATATGCACACACACACCTCTACTTGCTTATCACACACGCACGTTTACACATTGTTACCAAGTGAGCACTTAAAAATGCATAATAAAATAATATACACAATGCACTTCACAAAATACATGAATGGATACATCGTCATATAGCTTGTTGGTACAGGACTTGCTTCCAGTATACACGAACGAGTTATGGTCTCATGTCACAATTATATTGTTTACAAACACATAAATGGCCCTAAGATAATTAGATCAACGGTGGCAATTTTTGCAGAAGTAACAGAAATAATAATTTTTACAAAAGTCAAAGACAGTTATGCTCTAATTTTATATAAAAATGTTATGGGTTTTGGGATGGTGTGGGAAAACTTATGTAGTCGGCCACCATCTGAAAGTCAGTGGCTCAAAACAAGATAGAGTGCAGTGATGAGTGATCTATAATAGGCATGTTTCGTGAAAGTTGATGAGTAATACAATTGAAAGTGTCCAAGGTGATTCTTGGTCATGTGGTCATTGGGGCAGGTTCAAGTGTAGTTTTCTTAAACTGCTTGACCTACAAGAGCAAGTCAGTGTCATTTGTGTCTGAATCACACCTTCATATCATCGCATGTCGTATCTTGACATTCATTGTATTTCGTCAACAATTTCTCTCAGAGATCGTCTTCAGAGAGAAAGAGAAGAGGCACTGGATGATTTCAAGAGAGGCAAAGCTTACGTTCTCGTTGCTACGTCGGTGGCTGCCCGAGGTCTAGACATTCCGGAGGTGATGCACGTGGTCAACTATGACCTCCCGTCGTCGATTGACGAGTACGTGCACCGAATCGGCAGAACAGGCCGCTGTGGCAACCTGGGAAAAGCCACCAGCTTCTTCAACGGGGACACGGACCAGGCTATGGCTGTTCACCTCGTCAGAATTCTTAAAGAGGTGAGTGGTTTGTAGTGCGGTTAACATTTGGTAAACGGCATGTATTATAAAATAGAACCAGAGAATGTGTCCTTTTTGTGACTGCATTTGAGACTGGATCATCACCTTTTCCTCTCTACAGCCCTAAATGAGACCTAACATTGATAACAGTGTATGCACAAGACTCTCTTCTCCCCCCCAACCTGTGCTGTGGCAGAACTGTAGGTACTTTTTGCTTCATTTCTTACAGCCAGCGTTGGTAAGGGTACCGTAATATAAGAAGCTGAAGTTTGACACATGTGCGACATGCTCACTTTACCGATTTTATGACTCAAGCGGCCTCAGAGGTAAAAGTTTTGTTTCACGCCTTCGCTGAAAATTTGAATCGTAAATTTTTTGTGTGGATGATTAGAGGATGTCACATGTAGGTCTTACTTCTTTTTTATCTTTAGGATTGCCCCTCCAGGCAGATTGGAAGCAGCCTACCCCTAAATGGTCTAAATTGTGTCAATGGATATGTAAGACGGATACATTTATAAGTTTCTTGCGGGTGGCTGGGAGGTGCTTTGGCATGGTTGTCTCCTTTCTGATAGATTAAGCATCTCTTTTTTCTCTCACTGCCTTTTGGGGGGGGGGGGAGGGTGTTACTGTCTAGCAATACCTCTATTCTTTGGCACTTGTATGACCTATTTGTGTTGCAAGTACTGTATAAGAAGACTTACAAAAAACAATGGGCTGTTGAGGCTAGAGAAGTGGGCAGAGTAAGCCTGATTCCCTGTTTGGACTTTTCTGTTTTACATCCGCCCCTTGGCGCTCATATGACCGTATGCAGTTGGGAGCGCCGTAAAACCTTAACTAATACTAAACTTAAAATTTGTTTTAAAAAAAACACCAAAAAATACTACTCAATTTTGTTTCAGGCTCAGCAAGTGGTCCCCGACTTTCTTGTTGAGAACGCCAGCGGTATGGGAGCTGGGGACAGCGGGAGCTTCGGCGGAAAGTTTGGAGGGAAGGACATCAGGAGAGGGAAGGTGAGTGCTGAGTGCTGCAGATTGGTCTGTGTTGGGCAATGACAGTCTTTATTTGGTCGCTTTTAAGCACAAGGGGGCTATTCCGAAAAATGCTGTTATGAGAAAATTGAAGGTAAAGTTTTTGCCCCTTCTTCAGTTTCTTTAAAAGGAAAAGACAAGGAGAGTTTTTTGTATAAGCTAACTTTGTTTTGTTTTTTATTTTCAGTCTAATTTATTCTTTTGTAAGTCAACTTAATTGTGTGTAATTATTTTTTTGGTGGATGGTTGGCGGGTGCTCTGGTGTGGTTTGCTCCTTCTTTCCTATCAAACATGTATCTTCCTTATCTCTCCTCCTTATTTGTGTTCGTTACTCTCTTACTCTCTTGTAACACCTCTAATCTTCGGCACTTATATGACCTTATTGTGTTGCTAGTGCTGTAAAACTCTTAACTAAAACTAAAACTTAAATTTTGTTTTTTGTAAATCAACTGTATTTTTCAGTTCCTTCTAAGTCAACTTTATTTTTGTTGTGTTCCCTCAAGTTTGGCGGTGGAGGCCGTGGTGGGGGTCGCGGCGGCGACCATTTTGACAACGGCAGTTCTGGTGGCAACTGGGCGTCTGGCACTGGCACAGCGGACGCTGGCGATGACGAGGACTGGGACTGAGCCTAGTAGAGGTGGCCGGGTCATTCCACGACAAGTGACGCGCATAACGCAGGAAGGATAAACAAACCTGCTGGGGGGGAAATATCTAAGTAGTGATGGAGCTTGCTTTTTTTTTTTTTTTTTTGTTCGTTGGTTTTATTTTATTTTATTTGGGGGGGGGGGGGGGGAGGTTGCATCTGACAAATAAAAAAGATTTAAGAGTGGCTGTGTCACTAAGCTTTGAAGGTTGCATCTGACCAAAATTTTTTTTTTTTTTTTTTTGGAAGTAAAAAATTACTTTGTCACTGCTTAGAATTTTTCCGTGGTAGGTCATCGTGTCCGCGATGCCTGTGTCACTTTCCGCGGAATGGGCGTGGCGACGGTGCTGTTGCTGCGACTCCGGCAGGGCAGGATGAACCGTGGTGTTGTTGATGTTGATGCAGATGGTTTGTAATTCAGTGGGCATTATAATTGTAACAGCAATCTCTCTGCTTTGTTCTGGTGTGTCGGGTCACTGGAAGAAGCGACCATCTTGCCGCTCATTTTTGTTCAATCGATACCCCCCTTTAAATTTCCTTGAAATATTTGTTTGATCTTGTATTATTGTTGCCTTTATAAAAAACAAACAAAGTGGCTCTTAATTTGTTTTTTAATTGTTTGTTTTGGGGGTTTTTTTCTCTTCAAATCAGCCTTGAAGTCTCTATCAGTTACTCTTGTATTATGTACTTAATCTTGTTCGGATAATTAAAAGAATGTAGGCCTCAGTGTCGTCATGTATGATCTCAGAGCTGCTGATTTTGCAGGATAAATCCGGATTTCTCACATTATCCAGAAATTCGGATTTCTGACATCATTTTGGTTTTGCCACATTTCGGAGAATTTACGGTATATATAGAAATAATCTTGATAAGTTGAAGTGGACAATATGATCCTTAATTTTTAGGTCTCCTGGGGTGCGTTTCCACAGGGTCTGAGAAATTGAGGCGGTGGGAGGTGCGTAGCCAGTTGTCATCTCTGATGATATTGAGCACAGTTTTTTTTTGTAAACTCAGGTTATTTTGTGGAGTTTACAAGGCTCTAAACCCATCTGGTTTGGTTCCATCAGAGAAAGGCATTCAATTATGAGGTTCTGCTTCTCGGAAAAACTACCAGTGTTCAAGAGGATGTTCCAAACCCATACGCTGACTGTGTGACCGATGAGGGTGGAAATCAGCTCAGCCCTTTCCTGGTAAACTCTCCGCAAAACTGGCTGAACACTGCACTTTGATTCTCCCACAGGACGTTCACTTTGTTTGCCAAGGACTTTTAGACAGCAAGAGAGGCCGAGGCAGTCTTAAGAATTACGAGGCAGGGAAAAGACGAAAATAGTCTTCTTGAAAGCAACTAAGTTGAAAAATCTGTCATGGGGAACCATGATCCCTGATGTCCTTCTCAGATTTGGCACTTGTAGAAGAAGAAGATGCTTGGCTGTTGTAAAAATAGATCGGTGACACTTATTTAGCTTCAGCCTCTTTTAAAAAATTCCTAGTGAGGAAAAAGTTGCAGCTAACTTCAGCAGTTTATTATATCTGACTGGGTTTTGAAGAAGTGGGCAAGCCTGGTAAACCCTAATTGAGCAAATGAGGCACACATTTTGGCGTCAAGGTATGAACGGGAAAGGGTTGAATAATAGTCCAGGCTGACAATCTGAAATCATTGCTGGTGAAGTCATAACTTTGATTTGCTTCTGTGAAGTTTTCCTGCAACTTTTCAGCTGTAATGCTTTGTTCAGTGTCACTCGTGAAACGGCTAAAACTTCCATTTCTCGTGAATTTCTGCCCAGACGTTTTTCATCTCCTCAGAGTGTGGTGTCTCTTGTCATCAGAGATGGGGAAGGATAGAAAGTAAAAATTAAATGACTTTATATAGCGACTGTAGCAACACGTTTTCTCTTGAAACTCTTCTGTTTTTCTCATAATTTGACAATTTCTGGGAGGGCCTTGTTGTGATCAGAGTAGATGTAACTTTGTGCTTAGTTGGGTGACGGTGGGTAATGAATGCTCAATACGAGGAAGAATCAAGGCGCTTACTTTTTTTTTCTTTTTTAAGAAACTTTGAGAAGCCCTGTGTGGAGGCTTGAAGCAAGAAGACACAGGATTGTGCAGACCGTTGATGTACTTGGTTCACTTCATGGGTTTTTTAAGAAGCATTGTTGATCAAAATTTTGTGTTTGATGACACAAAGAAGAAAGAAAAGACCCACACATTGCTGGGTTTGTGGCAGCTGTTGTGGTGATGGGGAAAAAAAAAAGAAGGAAGTGATTTTAAAATCTCTTTTGCAGAGTAACAGAAAGATTTTACAAGACATGAATGGAACCAGGTTTAAAACGAAAAGCTCGGTCACAGAAGACCATTTTTTCTCAAGCCAGACTGAGGATTGCTATATGTGTATTTGAACATATCAGTCTGAAGAACTCCCTTTGTTTAGCATGCCCCATTCCCAGATACACCTGTATATTTCAGCTGCTTAGTGGGAGACTCCGCCATGCACCACTTTGAAAAGTGACGTGTCACGGGAGTTTTACTCTTGGCAGTTGATTTGTAGAAGTGTCGTTGAAAATAAATACTCACGTCCTCGCTTTGAGGATGCTCTCATTAGCCCGTAGGAAAGAAGAAAAAAATTCTTGTCAGTTCTGGCTTTGAAAAGTTGGTCTTCAGTTGTAAGCATGGCAAACTGTTGCACCATCCACACGTATGTTTGTCTCGGGAAGACGGTATAGAGTGAAATGGTGACCCTCAGAAAATGTAGGGCTGCAAAAAGAAGGGGTTGGAATTCTGCTAAAGTTGGCTCCATCTCCCCCCCATGCCCCAAGGCCACTGGAATTTATTCTGGGGAAATGTGCAGCGTTGATGCTCGTATAAAAAGTTTTACGGTACCAACCCTTTATGTCTATCAGCATAGATGTAAAACGGTTAAAAGAGTACCCATTCATGGGTGACTGAAGGTTTCTTCGTCCTTGAATGGGGGGAAGACTAGAACCTCTTGAAAATGTACATATGGGCTATCATACTTTGTTGATAAAAGCCAAAGTGTTTTTTTCAAAAGCCTTAAAAAGAGGCAAAGTATCTTGGGAGGACTGGTTTGCAGTCATGGGATTCATCAGAATCTTAACATGGCTGACTTCTCCTGCTCCCTTCTGCGATGCATTACGGCAGCACTTTTTGGCAGCCGAGAAAGGACAACGGACAAATGTTAACTGTAAATTGTTGGTGCTAATGCTATGCAAGCTCTCTGACACTTTATTTCATAATCCCTCATCCCTTTCCCCAACAACCCCCCCCCCCCCCCCCCCCAACTTGTTATCATTCACATTCACTACTCCGGGGGAAACCACCCCACTTGTTATCATTCACATAAGGGACCCCCCTAAACTCCTGTGTTCACCACTAACGTGTTTTCCACTCCCATAAACTCTACCACCTTCACCGTGTTCAAGCATGCCTGTGATATAACGATGGGTACAAGCGCTGCTGATGGTGCAATTTGTTTGTTGACTCAGGGCGGCACAGAAACTGTCCCCGTCGTTTTATGCAAGAAAAATTCTGAAATTATGCAAACTGAGCCCAAAAATGTGAAATTATGCGGTTCTGTTAATTTTAACAAAGAATGATAAAGTAGGAAATGGATCTGAAATGATGCGGGGTGCATAAAACCACGGGGACAGACAGACTGGTGTCTCCTCACTCCTACTTTTAAATGTCATGAACAGTTTTTTATGCTTGTGTAAAAAAAAAAAAAGTTTTGAAATAAAGAATGTTCATGTTGAACTGGCGTTTTGTACTTGTATTAAATTAGTTCTGTGTGTTGTGTATTTTGGACTGGGTTTTTTTTTTATGTTGTAGGGGGGATTCAAAGTCACTGTTGTAATGGGTGGTTGTGGAGGCTCTGGTGTGGTTTGTTCCTCTCCAGCATCTGTTATCCTTAGAAAATTGCTGTTCCCTCTTTTTTTTTATGTTGTTACTCTCTAGTACCCGATAACACCTTTTTTTTAACTTAAAAATAATCTTCGGCACTTGTATTATAATGATCTGATAACTTTGCAAGTGCCTTGTCATACTCGTACATATGTACTAGACCTTTTTAAAAGAAAAAAAGTTGTAATAGTAATAATAAGTAATATAGCAGGCCTACTGGCCGACATTATTCTTGTTATTGTAAGTATGCTTTACACCTCTGACTGTCGACACAGCTCAAATCATTTAGGAGGTGGGCTGACTGGGATAAACCTCTCACTCTCAGCAGAAAGACACTCGAGTGAAAACTTTTGTACACTTGAGAATGTGCCACTGACTAAAGTGTCTTTAGGCCATTCCCAAAGGGGGGACATTTTTCGTTCAAGCATAGTAGTAGAGTTGTAAATGGGCTGACTCATGTCACGCTCATAACTGTGCCTGATCTACAACAGGGAACTGCTGCTTTTTCTTTCCTGATCCTTACTATTGTTATTTTCCTCTACTTTAGTATGTTTGCCACTCTCTTGTGACCTGCTATTTTGGGGTGCCTTGATAGTCAAAGCAGATCTTGTGCTGTTGAAGCTAGAGAGGTGAGCAGTCTAAGTCTGATTCCCTGTAAAGACTTTTCAGTTGACACCCACCCCTTGGCGCTCATATGACCGTATGCAGTTAAGTTGCAAGCGCCGTAAAACCTTCCACTATTAAAAAAAAAAAGCCGTGTGATGGAAGAGAGGGGAAGAACCCAGCAACGACACTGCAGAAGTTGGTGTGATTTTGTCTTGTAGTTAAGAGGTTCGAGTGAGTCGATGACACTCCTCCTTGTGAGTGGGTGGTTGGCGGGTGCTCTGGTGTGGTTTTCTCTTTTCCTATTGAACATACATGTATAGTCCTTATCTATCATCATCCTGATCTCTCCTCCTTTGTGGGTGGTTGGCGGGTGCTCTGATGTGGTTTGCTCCTTCTTTCCTATCAAACATCTATCATCCTGATCTCTCCGCCTTTTTTGTGTTTGTTACTCTCTTGTAATTTTTTTCGCCCCCCCCCCTGCCCACCCAGCAGTAATGGGTACAATGTACCTGACTTTGAGTTGTGGAAGTAAAGGCAACGAGGAAAAGAACTGACCACCCTATGCCGAAGGCCCAGGAAGTTGTCTCACTACATGCAACAAGGCAAAACCCCCAATGTTCGGATCGGATACTGGAACAACTTTAGTTGTTTTGTTTTTTTACTGGCTTGTAGCACCTCTAATCTTCTGCACTTATAAAATATGACCTTATTGTGTTGCAAATGCCGTAAAACTTACTAAAACTTTAAAAAACCCTGTCCTCTTTTGCTTTATTTGTGGATTGCACCCTTGAATCTTGGGCACCTTTATGACCTAATTGTGTTGCAAGTGCTCTGTAAAACTCACTAAAACTAAAACTTTTTTTTGCGATAAAGGTGAGCAATGTGCAGACTGATTAAATTGTTCCCTTTGGCTTATCCAGCTGAATGTTGCTCCGGCGACGCCACCAGATATTTCGCCTGTGGGAGATTCCTTTAATCATACTTTAACTTTAATGAAAGTTTCTCCAAGGGACGTAAAAATTTAATTTAAATGTTTTAAGATATTGACAAAGACCTAAAAATAAAATATTTTCATAATCAATGCAAATTAAGTCGGGGAGCGAAATTTGATGCTGAATTATAAAGCTATGTTTTATTTTAGTATTTTTAGTAGTACTCTTCTACATTACACATTGTAGACATATTGTGTGTGACTTTTTGGTTTTACTGCGCTCACAACTGCATAAGGTCATACGAGATGAGCGCGCGGGACACGTTAAAACATTTAAATTTTCAGTTGTTAGGTATTGGGAATTTTGCCTGGGTGGCTGCCGAAGCCTACTCTTATAGATTTTGGACCACCAAGGGATCTTTAACGAGCGCAACTCCGAGATTTTTCGCTCTTGTCCGAGAAGTAGGCTAGGTGTAGAACTTTCCTACCATAAGATTAGGTGTGGTTGAAAGACAGCAGTTAGAAGGAGCCAAGGAGTAGCAGTAGAAAGGAGGGCAAAGGAGCTGAGGGGGTGGGGGCAGAAAGTGGAGACGAAAGCAGACAGAACATTGTTAGACTGCAGGAAAGGATGTGAAAGGAAAACATTTTCTGTCGCTATCCGGATTCGAACCCACGACCTATTGAATGAGAGGCAAACACCTTAGCCTTAACCTCTAGACCACGAGAGTCCCCTCTGCTACTCTTCTGTCTGCTCCAGGTTCCACGTGGCCTTCGCCTTTGTCTCTTCTTACCTGGTTGATGAGTTGTCGATTTCAGCCCCAACACCTTATTGCAGCTTCATGACGATTATTTTATGTCCAATCCAACACCACTTGTCTCCGTCTGGTTCTTTTTAATATTTCTTTGTTGGTGACGATATGTTATGTCTTAAGACTTATTGGAGCTTTTTTTTGCCGCATCAACACATATCTGTCCCCGTCGTTATGCAAACTGAGCCCAAAAATGTGAAATTATGTGATTCTGTTAATTTTAACAAAGAACGATGAAGGAAAATAATCAAATTATGCAAAAAATGATCAAATTTTGCTAAATTATGCGGGGTGCATAAAACCACGGGGAAAGATATCTTTAGTTCGTTTAGGAGGCAGGCTTTCCACCCTTCCTGTCAGGACCAAGCCAGGCTGAGAGTGAGAGGAATACAACATCCCAAGAGAATCAGAAAGACCAAGACACTCGATAAAATTAATTCTTCCCATTCAGGAATTGAACTTGGATCTCCAGCATGTGACAGCGAAGTGCCTAACCGCTACTCCCTAGACGCCAGTATTTTGGAAGCAAGGGACCCAGATCAAATTAAAAGTGGAGGAACTTTTTTAAGATGAGAAATATTGGAGAATGGCCCAGGTTAGAAGACCCTCGGTTTTGTGCACGTCTACTTAAGTTTATTAGTTTTACAGCATTTGTAACACAAATAGACAGGCAAGTGCCAATGATTAAAAATGTTACAGTCGATCCCACATGTTTTGGTAAAGTTGATCATTAAAATGTCGGCCACCAATATTTTATGGCTTGGTTACCATAGGAGGGAGAACAGTTCATAACAAAAATAATAATACTTTGTATCCATTTTCTGAAGGATTCAGACCTGTTAACCTCTCTTCTCTGTTAAATGATGACAACATTAAAAATCAATTACGCCCTTAAAAAAGGCTAGAAATATTGCGGACTCAAAATGCAGGCTAGGAAACTTGAACAACGAAAATGACAACACATCGAAACGTTGTGGTTTTTTTTGTCATAATTTATTTCCATGGCTTAAAATATTTAAATCACATACTTGAAACAGCACAAGCAAGAAAATTTTGAATTTCACACATGACCCTCCCAAAACAAACAAACAAAAACTCCTTTAAAGTGTATGCCATGAACCTTGGCAATTTCTGTCGAATCTGTTCTCAGTCAAAGGTGAGGAAACATGGACGATGAAAACAGCACGCTTGCTTCGCTCCTAATTCTCCAGCCCAACATGAATCTAACTGATAAGATTCCCAGAAAATATCAGAGGAGCAAGGACGCAAATGACAAACCATTGTACTACTCTACCAGCGGTACATTACTCTCCATTTAATCATAAAAAAAACCCATGAAAACCAGTCACCCTCTCGCGCAATCATTCCAATTCATGCCAAAGACTTGCGGAACCCACCCCGCAAAAAAACCCAACAAAAACTGAACCAAAAAATACCACATACCATGGAGTCCAAACGTATGACAATATCAGCCAAACCAACAACAAAATGCAGTCTCCAGAGGTACACCAAATGCCCTGTTGTCACCCGTGCTGGTCTTAACTAATATCTCAAATATCCGCATATTGCAACTAAAACACAATACAAATATTATATCTAGTCACATAAAAAGATAAGAAAGGGACCGAAACTGACTGCAGACATTCATTCAGATCTAACTTGGGGGAAACTAACTCGCCTTTTCCCCAAATAAATCTGTAAAACGGGGTCTGCATTACAGGCCTACGTTGACTTGAGGCAAACCATCCCCCACCTCCCGAAAAAAAACCCAACCAACTGGGAATCCTTGACAGTAACTTTGGTCTCAGAGACTGAGCTCAAAATCTGTCACAACCAAAGATTTTTTCCGTGAAACTGGAGGAAGATGTGATAGAAACTTGTACGGTGTACGTTCTACTACGTTCTAAGGGAAACACCTGACAGCCACACCATGTCCCACACGTAATAATAGTCAACTTATGTATACATACATTCTACTCATGTGTAGTGTTCGCCATGTTATGTCATACAAAATCAATCGTAAGATGAACGGAAACTCGTGAGAGACAATAGATACAAGAGGCAAAGACAACGAAATAATGTTCTCATCCTATAGTTTAAAAAAAACAAAAACAGGGGAGAATATCTTGAAATAAGAACTGCTCTTCCATGTGAAGAAGCCTTGATGGCCGGAGGAAAAAAACAACATCAAAATGTCAGTAAAAAAAAAAAAAAAGCACATTGTGAGTCATAGAGTAAATGACCGTAAATCTTGCTGAGAGCCCAGTGTGGACAGTTTAACTGTACAGATCCTCATCTCCGTCGTCCTGGGCAAAGTTTCCTCCCTGACTGCCGCTACCAGAACCACTTTGACCTTGCTGTCCGGCCGCTCCCGGGAACCTGAACACATTTGAGAAAAGACACGGGTTTCAGTTTTGTTTTTTGCATCGTTAATTTGTAACACGAAAGCTTCAGGGGGGAGAAAGAGGAGCAGGAACTGGGAGAAAAGTGTGGACTGTGCCTTTTTTTTTTTGCACGGGAGATTGATCAAGCACAAACCCCAATCACATACAGCTGGAATTGTCTAATTGTCCACCCAATGTTGAGGAGAAAAGCGGTCGTCTTTCACTGTTTGTTTTTTTTTAAAGGTAGAGGGTTTTACGACGCTCGCAACTGCATACGGTCATACGAGCGCCAGTTTTACACTGTGACATTATAATGTTTATTTTAATTTTAAAAAAGAAAAGGGGGAAAAGTGGGAAGTGGCCGTTTGTACAGGTGACTGTCTCATACAGGCAGTCCTCAGAGCAGGTTTGACTGCTTCTGTGAATTTGTGAATTAAGAATCTAGCTTTAATAACTCTTTATGGCCTTTTACTCCCTTTATTCTCTAAGCTTGTGACATTTTAAAATGCAAAAAAATTACTAATAACTTACAAAATGACATGTTGAAATAACTGTCTTGTAAAACTACACCAACCTAAAAATGGTATTGTTAAATGGATCGGAGACATGGAAACTAACAAAGCAGACAGTCATAATAATAATAAATAGCATTTGTATAGCGCATGTCCCCACTCGAAAGCAAGCTCTATGCGCTTTACACTATATTATTACCCCAGCAGACCATAGAACACTCATCAACATCCTCATCTTCCCGGGAAGCATGCAGTACTAATAGTAAACAAACTACAATCCTTCTCTTTTTTTGGTAAGTGTTTTACAGTGCTCGCAACTGCATAAGGTCATATTAGCGCACGGGACACATTAAACTTTTTCAGTTGGTATGAAATTTTGAATTTTGCTCGGGTGGCTGCTGAAGCCTACTCTTATCGATTTTAGACCACCAAGGAATCTTTAACGTGCTCAACTTGCACACGGGCCCTCCGAAATTTTTCGCCCATGTCTGAGAAGGCTAGGAGTAGATCTTTCCCACCAGAAGATCAGGGGTGTGGCTGAAAGACAGTAGTAAGAAGTAGCCACGGAATAGCAGTAGAAAGGCTGCAGAAAAGAGTCCGGAGCCCAGAGGAGAGGGGGAAGGAGGTGAGGGCAGAAAGTGGAGACGAAAGCAGACGACAGAACATTGCTGGAGAGCAGGTGTGTAAGGAGACAATTTTAGAGAAGAAAATTTTTCCGTCGCTACCCGTATTCGAACTCGGGACCTTTGAATGAGAGGTCAACACCTTAACCTCTAGGCCACGAGAGCCCCCCTACAGTCTTTCATCAATGGTTGCCCCTGGAAGATGATGAAAATCCACTGGTCGGACACCAGAAATGTAGCAGGCAAATTTGGAGTTGACCCCAACAACAACCAATAGACCAGGAGATCAAGAAAAGACGGTGGTTGCGGACTGGCTCACTCTTGGGAAGCCAGCCTACAATGTGACAAGGTAATGCCTAAGATGGGAGCCCCCAGGGGAAGAGGAAGTTTGTTAGAGTAAAGAGAAGCACATCGACATAATAATGGTCATTTAGTGCTGGGGAAAAGTAAGACAGACAGAAGCAATAGAGGGGAAAGTAAAGAAGAAGGACCTCCCAGTGGCGCCCTCCAACCACCCACTAGAAGAGGAAGAGAGGCTGGTCTGTTGAGAGCCACCTGAGAACAAGTAGTTCTGGGGGCAGATCTCAGGGCACAGATAACTAGAGGTGGAGAAAATTGTTCAGAACAGAGATGGATGGATATCATCCATCACACCCCCCCCTCCCCCAGTGGACAGAGTTAGTCTGACAATATTCCAAACTGACCTGAAACCTCCGAACCCTCTGCTCTGTTGCAAGGAGTGAGCAAACATCTCGTATTTGCGAATGTCGTTCTCTGTGACGGATCTGCGCGCAAACTTCATGGCCTCCTCGAAGTGGGCCCTTGTCAACTCTGGCACTGGGTCGTACTCTTCAATTTCCTGGAAGAACACAAGGGGAGGGGAATTTAGTTTTAGTAAGTGTTTTACGGCATCTGCAACACAAAAAGGTCATATAAGTGCCGAAGGAGGTGTTACAAGAGAGTAACAAACACAGAAAAGAAGAAGGGGAGATAAAGACGATACATGTTTGATAGGAAAGAAGCAAACCACATCAGAGCACCCGCCAACCACCCACAAGGGAGGGAAGATCCAGCGATAAACACATGAATGATTCACATTACTTACAGGGTCTGTTTAGTTTTAGTAGAGGTTTTACGGAGCTCGCAACTGCATAAGGTCATATGAGCGCCAGAAGATTAGAGGTGTTACAAGAGAGTAACAAACATAAAAAAGAACAAGGGGAGATAAGGACGATAGATGTTTGATAGGAAAGAAGAAGCAAACCCCACCAGAGCACCCGCCAACCACCCACTAGGTCTGTACAAACAAAGACTTTTGGAAAAGACAGAAATTTCACCACACTAGCTGTTGCATTATATAAAACTTAAAAATGAAAACAGCCTCCTGTTATAGTATTTTATAAATATAAAAATCTGTCTTCATAAAAGAAGGATTTCAACGAGAGAAAAAATATCATCAACAAAACAGATTACCATATGGCAGCAGCACAATGTACACAGAACACTAAAAAAGTATAAGGAACTACATGATCAAGTTGTAAAACACCAAAAGTGTGTACAAAAAGCACCATGCCCTTTGAACTCTTGCACCTTGAAAATATGAAGGGGATGGCTTCAACTAGGCGCACATGGGTTCATGGTCCCAAATTTCGACAAAATCCAAACAGATTACATAGACGTCACAAGAAAAATTAGCATGTTTTGTCTCCCTGTTAAACAGCGATAAAAATTATTTCTTCAGCTTCTCTTTTTCTTGCGACAATTTCTAGTACAGTTGACTACGGAGGAGTTGATGTCGGCCGGGGGAGTGAAAAAAGAGATCAACTCATCCGAAGTTCAACTCAACAGCTGGGACCTGTATAGAAAAAGGCTGTGACACTAGAAAAAGACAGACTTTACCGAAGATCAACTCAAGCCCGGTCAACACAAGCGGAGTCGACTGCACTTACCATATCAGCATCTGGGTTCTTTGCACGTTCACGCTCGTTGCGGATTTCCGCCTCGATCGACTGCCTAATGGCCAGCTTACAAGCACGCTGGCAGATTTCTGTAAGATCGGCACCACTGAAGCCTTTGGTCACCTTTGCCAGGTAGTCTAGATCAATATCCTGGGGACGACAAGAAGATAGAAGCTCATGTTATACAAGATCAATGAGAGAACTACAGCAGAAGACAAAACCATTACAGTACATAGGGGACATGACAGACATCCTATTAGAAAGAAAACAAACACTATACATGATCAATGTCACCATCAATTATTATCATTAATGAAGAGTAAAAAAATGTTTACATTTTTACAATGCATGATCAACATTATCATCATTGACGATGGCAAAAATGATGCTACACATGCTCAATATCCCAGTGAGAGAAATAATACAGCTCACGCTACACATGAGGCTTCTTGACATATACCGTACCCAGTACCCAATTCAATATCTCCTCACGCAGGGAATCAAACTCACTTTTCATCCATGGGTCCAACCATTACAAAACAAACTGGTGAGATATTATGAAAAAACAAAACAAACAACAACAACAAAACAGAACAAAAAACAACAGCATCGCAGTGTTGCAAATATATATTCCTTCCCTACCACACTACTGAACAGTAGACCTACCTTGGCCAATGGTGACTTGCGCAGATTTGCCTTGAAGATCTGGATGCGGGACTTGTCATCGGGCAGAGGAATGTAAATCAGCTGATCCAGACGGCCCGGACGCATGATGGCAGAGTCGATGATGTCGGGCCGGTTCGTGGCACCGATGATGAAGACGTTTTTCTTGGCTGACATTCCGTCCATCTCTGTCAACAGCTGGTTGATCACTCTGTCAGCAGCACCACCTGCACGGAAAGTTTGTTTGTTGGAGTGAATAATAATAATAATAATCCATCATTATCATTATAATAAAAATAAAAATAATCATCATAATAAAAATAATAATAGACAGCATTTGTACACCGTAAATTCCCGTTCAACAGCAAACTCTATACGCTTTACATTCTATATTATTACCACAGCAGATCAGAGATAACATTCTAAAACAATTCCAACTTCCAGAGAAGCATACAGTACAAACTGCCCTTTTTTTTTATATAGGCGCTAAAACACCAATATACTGACAAGTGAAGAGAAGCTCACCCACACAAACACCATCTAGTGCAGGGTTAAAGTAATCTTTGGTTCTCGTGAACATCTCAGATTTACCTGACAAAATCATCGCAGGGCAGTGCATGCAATAGGCCAATAAATGGACCCCCCCCCCCTGGACCTTGTTGACTCATTTACCCCAGTCTCCTAAACAGAACGGGGTAATCCGTGCCTCTTCAGGACAAAATCCCAAACCTTCCTTGTGTACAAAAAAAGTAATAAAATCTAGCCACAAGAGTTTTTCTTACAATAGTTCTACCAATAAACAACTCGTCCACTCAGAACTATTTTGTCCAAAGTGTACTTAAGTAAAGAGGCATCTCTCTACTTTGGACAAAATAGCTCTGAGGCGACGCACTGTTAATGTAAAAAATATTTTAAAAAGCAGTCACAAAAAGAAATGAGTGCACGTACCACCATCACCAACATTTCCACCTCTGGATTTGGCTATGGAGTCCAGTTCATCAAAGAAGAGCACACATGGTGCGGCTGACCTAGCCTGGAGGAAGGCAAGAAACAACATCTCAGTTTTATAATAATAATAACAATAATAAATAGCATTTGTATAGCGCACATCCCCGCTCAACAGCAGGCTCTATGCGCTTTACACTATATTATTACCCCAACAGACCATAGAACACTCCGAAACATTCTCAGCTTCCCGGGAAGCATACAGTGCAAGCAGCTGATTAAGTGCTCAAACACTAACAAACTGACAATATCTTTCGCTGTCTATAGCCGGGTACCCATTCCCACCTGGGTGAAGTGAGGAAAATTTGTGTAAAGTGCCTGTCCCAAGGACACAAAGTCGGGTCCCTGACGGGATTCGAACCCACGACCTTACGGTTGCGAGTCCGAGAGCCTAACCATTTATAACAAATATTATGTTCGTCACAAGCTAGTTTCTAACTGGTAATAGCACACCAGATTCATACAAGGGGTATTACTACAAACACTGGTTTCTATTGGATTCATACACAATTTTCATTACAAAGACCAGTTGCAGATGAGTAATAAAAAGTTATTCAAACAAAATTGTACGTATTATAAACACTGGTCTTTATGAAATCATGTACAAGATTGAAATTCAAACAACAAGAAAAAATCTAGACATACTTTGCTGTGAAGGCACTGCAATGATTGAACTATGATATTACTTGATCTGGTGTTTCACTAAATGTTACGCGTGGGCACACCCATTCACACATACTTTCTTCCACACACACACCTGTAGACATACACACATATTTTTTTTTACAGACACACATAACATATGCTTGCACTCACAAAAAGACCCACAGGCACAGGAGGTAAATAGCACACCTAATGCCCACGTACGGAGAAGCCAAGCGAGAAAACACGAGCACTGACCTTGTCGAAAATGTCCCTGACATTGGCCTCGGACTCTCCAAACCACATGGTGAGGAGCTCAGGTCCCTTGATGGAGATGAAGTTGGCTTGGCACTCGTTGGCAATGGCTTTGGCCAGCAGAGTTTTACCACAGCCAGGGGGGCCGTAGAAGAGGACGCCCTTTGACGGGGTCATGCCGAACTTGAGGAACTTCTCTGGGTGCTCAACAGGGTACTGGGCGACAAGAACAAATATCAGTATCTTATTTCAAATGAACATGCGCGCGCACACAAACAAAACAATGCATTGCAGGCACCCCCCCCCCCCCCCAAAGAAAATCCAGAAAAAAGATAATTCCGTCGATGTCTCCATCCTTAATAAATATATCGATCATAAAAGCCATATGTGAAATTCAGGACTAAAACTCAACTATGGCAAAATTTAGTATCTAACTGATTTAACAAGCAAAATATCTGTAATATTATATTTTCAATTAATCCCCAGGAAACAAGTTCAAAATGCATGCCCAAATAAGAACAACCCACAAGTAGGAAATTTATGATCAGTCTCACAGGAAAAGCACAAGTCTCACGGGGGGGGGCTGGGGGCTGAACAAAACCCACTGGTCATCTTTTGTCAGAATATGTGAGAACAAAAACATTCAGGTTTGCCAACTTGATTAAAAACCCACCAGGGACAGCAAATGTCAAAACACCAGATGGCATAACAACAAACAAAATGGCATCACGTCTGACTGGCTTTGGCGTTATTTACGAGAAAAGGCACTCAAATTCCCAACTGCTGAATCCAAGCCAGCCGTGGGAAACTTGAACAGTTGGCAAACCCACAGATTCCAAACCCCAGGCATGCCGTGAGAGTACACACCTGCACCAGCTCTTGCAGCTCTCTCTTCACGTTCTCCAGACCGCCCACGTCTTCCCAGGTCACATTGGGCACCTCAACAGACGTCTCACGTAGAGCACTCGGGTTGCTTTTGCCGAGAGCCCACTGCAAGACAAAAGAAAGTAAATTCATTATCACCCCACTGCACTGCATGACAAAGAAAGTAAATTCATTATCACCCCACTGCATGACAAAGAAAGTAAATTCATTATTTAACTACTTATTCATCTTTTTTCTTTGGTTTAAAAATACGATCAACAACAAAAAAATTGGGGGGGGGGCAAGTGTTTTATGGCGCACGCCCCCACGCCAACTCTTGTGAGATGGATGACTTCTAGTTTTGCTTCACATGAGGTCAACAGTGGAAGAAGAGAAAGAAGGAAGAAGGGGAGATACACGAAAGTCGGCGCTGAACACGGATCCAAGAGGGTTGGGGTCCGTGTGCGACACTTCGTCATTGGAGGAGTTTTATACCTCCTACAGACGGGGTAGTGGGTCTATTTATATTCCCCCGACCCACAGGGGTGTGCAAATATGATAAATATATTTTTTTTTAACTCTCCTATGTCTGCAAAACAAGATATTCTATTCTTTACAAAACATAAAACGTTACAAAAGACAAGATTTTAAAAACAAAGTAAAGTAAACTTGACTTCAAACCTTGACCGTTTGGACCCTGCCCCTTGAGCCCACAGAGACCAAAAAAAGGGGAATTCATGTAGAGAGAGAGAGTGTGTGCTGGGTTAAAAGTCTTGAAAAGACTTTTAGACTCCACTTTAACACTCTCTCCAAATGTTTTTTTTTTTTTTGGTGGTAAAATCATTCAAGTCCTGGAAATGAGCCATTCTAACTCACTCTGAAGTTCTCCATGGACACAGCCAAGGAGTCGAGGACTTCTGCATCGATTTGCTCGTCCTCCAGGTCAATCAGGTCCATCTTCTCGCGGATCTGCTGAAGGGCAGCCTCCGAGCACAGCGCAGCCAAATCAGCACCAACGTGGCCATGAGTCTCAGACGCAACCTGCAGATACATCAAGTGTATGTGAAAAGTTTACTTGAATACTGAGTTAGTTCCTGGAGTGTGCAACTGGTAAGTCTTTCTTTTGTCCTTTCCCCCTTCTAAATACTCTGTTTTCTTGTCGATGTGCTTCTCTTTACTCAAACTTCAGCAAACTGAAAATTGACCAGAAACATGGAACCAGACATTATCCCAGCATATGGATATATATGTACACAGTGACCAGCACCTCCCCCCTCCCTCCTCTCATCTAAATTTTCACACAATGTCCACATCCAGTCCAGTGTACAGCCCTCCCCCTCCCCTCATTAATAGACAACATTGACACCTATTTTACGCCCACCCCCCCCCCCCCAAAAAAAAAAAAAAAACCCAAAACAAAACCAACAACCCCCCAACAACAAACAAAATTCCCAGACTATGTACATACCTGTTCCAGGTCCACATCATCACCAAGCTTCATGTTCTTTGTGTGGATCCTCAAGATCTCAAGACGGCCAGTTGCATCAGGGATGCCAATGTCCACCTCCCTGTCAAAGCGACCTGAACAGAAGAAAGGGGCGTTGAATCAACTTCAGTTTCCGTTTAGTTTTAGTAAGAGTTTTACGGCACTTGCAACACAATAAGGTTAGAGGTGTTACAAGAAAGTAACAAACACAAAAAAGGAGAGATCGGGACGATAGATGCTTGGTAGGAAAGAAGGAGCAAACCCCACCAGAGCACCCACCACACTTCAGTTTCCACACACACAAACTTGGGGACAACACTCAACCCACGAACAAATAATTACATAAACAAAAAACAAAATTAAAAAAAAACAAAAAAACAAAGAGAAAAAAACCCCAACAACAAATAATAATTAATCACAATTCCAAACTTGTGGGCATTTGGAAGTTGCGCTGGTGTGGTTTGCTCAGTTAATAGACACCACTAACAGAAAACAAATGCTTAGAATAACTATTCTCGAGAAAATAACAAAAATTAACAAGGGAAAAACAGAATCCTCGTAATAAATCAATGGAGGCTACACCCAATTGTACTCCCACACTTAACCCTAACTCTGGCAAGTGGTTTCAACAGGAATGGCAGGGCTAATCAGCCAAAACGTGCACATGTTTTACAAATCAAATTTATGGACTTGTATCAAATAAAAACCCTACAAAAGTATATATTTTCTGAAAGATAATTGAATGAACTTTTATATTTTGCCTTTGAACATATGATTTTATTTAATTTACAAGGGGTTGTATAACTTTGAAATCCAAGATGGCTGACATAAAAAATTTACATGCTCATTAGCATATTCACCAATCTAATGTACTGCATGTTATAAAAAATGTGAGATAGCAGAAATATGGGTTTTTCAATTACCTTTCAGAAAATGTACAGTGTTATAGGTTTGAGAAGAACAGGTAATGAGTCATCACTGTTTCAATTTGTCATGTGGTCTGTTTCGAGCGCAGCTGATACTCGCTACTTTTATACCATACTCAACATAAAAACACTCCAAGTACAACCATGTGGTTTTCAGCAATCTGCTGGTAGTCTGTAATAATTAGTATAGCAAAAGGAACCCACCTTACTCTATAGCTCTCTTTTTTCTGCCCCTATTAGACTCCCAAAGGTAGTAGAATCTATTGTTCCATTTGAAAGAGAAGTTGGGGCAGGATGAGAACTGGCAGCCCCTTTGTCTGTCAGATCTAATCCCAATTCTTGACTGAACACCAATAAATCCACCATTAACAGTGCCTGAATTACTTTCCCTTGTCAATTCACTTTCAAATGTATCCAAAAAGATAGATTTTTGGCCATTTTAGACCCACATGAGTAGCACAAGTGATAGATCTACACTGGCATTAGTGGCTTGTGTCCTGACCAACAAGCTTTCAAAACATCCCTCTGTTTTGAAAGCAAAATACTCTTCTCCTAAGCCAGAATGGTAGAAATATTCTGATTGGTTGGAGGTTAGCCTTTTAGCCAATCAGAAATCACTTTAGGAAGCCCCAAATATTTAGTTGGAAGGCAGAAGCAGCAGTTTACTATATGGTCCTATGAGATCGGCCCTGCCAGTTCATGGCAGGACATGGGCCGATCTAATCGGCCCTGGCCAGAGTTAGGGATAAACACAAAAGTGTGCAGTTCGTACCGAATCGTCTGAGGGCAGCGTCGATACTGTTTGGGCGGTTGGTGGCGGCCATGACGATGACGTGAGACCTCTGCTTCAAGCCGTCCATCAACGTCAGCAGCTGGGACACGATACGTCTCTCCACTTCTCCATGTGTCTAGAAGAGAAAGACGGAGGGAGGGGAGAATTCCATACTGAGTTTAAAGGTTGGAAATGTATGTGACAATACAAGCATGACATTCTTTCGAGGCATGATATTTATCATTCATGTACAAAAGACACAGACACAGAGATATCGATGTAGATCTAAGTTACAATCCGTTTACTGCAATATTTGTTTGTAAGTATTTCTCCCAGATTCCCAAGAAATCTTCAGTCTTTCTTCTAAAAGTGACACTATTGCATACATCCCCTTAAGTTCAAAGGTGCAGAATGCAGCACAGGGAAATATGCAAGTAGACAATTATATATATATATACAACCAATATTATTACTATCATCTCTTACCACACAGAGAACAATTATTACTATAATCTCTTACCACATACAGAGAAATTATTATTATCATCCTTTACCACATACAGAACAATTATTACTACAATCTTTTACCACATACAGAGCAACTGTTACCATCATCTCTCTTACCACATACAGAACAATTATTATCATCTCTTACCACATACAGAACAATTATTATCATCTCTTACCACATACAGAACAACTATTATCATCTCTTACCTTCTCACGCTTGGGAGCAATAGCATCCAGTTCATCAATGAAAATGATAGCCGGGGAGTTTTTCTCGGCTTCCTCAAAAGCTTTGCGCAGATTGCTCTCAGACTCGCCTGCCAGTTTGCTCATGATCTCAGGACCTGGTCAACAAAGAACAACTCATTTATCAACAGTCTGTGACGAAAATGGCAGGTGAAAACGGATACATGACTACAAGTACAACAAAAACCCACCAGCGATGGTACCACTACAAGAATACTGAAATCCATTTTTCCTATAATAATATTAATAAAGAGATATATCAACACACACACACACAAACACATATGAATATCAAGCTTTAACAAAGACATGTTGTTATGCTTGATATCTTTCAAATCGTGCTATGGTAATTCCAGATGAGGATTACTCAAATAACAAAAGATTCTTTTTAGGGGGGTTAAAAAAGGAGGGCATGTACACAAACATGTGAATTTTATCAAAGACATCTTTTACAAGCACTTTTTGTCATCTATTCCACACCCCTCTTGCTTATAGAACACAAAAGAATTATTTAAGAAAAAGATCTACTTGCCATTGATGAGGAAAAAGAAAGCTCCTGTCTCATTGGCTACAGCTCGAGCAATCAAGGTCTTGCCAGTACCAGGGGGACCGTACAGCAGAATGCCTCTGGGCGGCTGAAAAAACACAATGCAACGTACAGTACAAATCTATCTCCTAAAAACAATTCTAAACAGAATGAAGTTATTACAATTAAATCTTCATAACTGCCTTCCTTTGGTTGCAACATAACATAATGTCACCACTGGGCCATAACTCATTTCTACTGAGCCTGCATGTTCTATTGTTACACAGGTGTGTATGGGGTCTACGCAATCAAACAATATATCTCTTCCCTGTGTTAAAAAATATATCTTAATTAAATTCTCAAGAAAATACCAACAGTTTACCTCATAAAGAGCTTACGATCAAGGCAAATATAACCTTTCCTCAAAACGGATCGAGGTATACTCTCCTCTCCATTTTAAATATCGGACTCTATGCGCTACACATAGCCAAAATCAAATTTTAAAAAACCAACCCCCCCCCCCAAAAAAAAAAAAAAAAAAAAAAAAAAAAAAACCCCCCCCCCCCCCCCCAACCAGTTCAAACAAGCACCGTCAAAAACATTTCGCCAACGTACCTTGACGCCGATGGCTTTGAAGAGCTGAGGATGCCTCAGGGGCAGCTCCACCATCTCTTTGATTTGTGCCAGTTGTTTGCGGCATCCACCAATATCATCGTAGCCAACCTCGTTCAGCTGCTCCTCCTCCTCCTGGTTAATGGGAAATAAGATAAGATACGATAAAACTTTATTGTCCCTGTGGGGAAACTCTGTGGCTTTACAGGAATGGTAAAAACACCATGTACATATCTGGAAAATTTAAATTGTATATTACTAACATAATATAAAAAATGGACAAATCATAAATATATTTAAGTTGCAACAAAGCAGATCCATTAAAAACTAGATCTACACAGTAATCTTGGAATGACAAATTTTTCAGAAATCAAGGTATGAGAAAGCCAATCAAACTTTGAACCATTCACAATGCAAAGGTGGATAAAAATATATTTTAAAATTTATTTTTTTAAATTGATACATTAATCAATATTCAAATAAATAGAAGACTGAAAGTCAAAGGAAAAGCTCACCTCTCTCTTCACAGGCTCTCCCTCGCAATGAATGACAGTGTCAGGGGCAACAATACAATATGGCTGTGGGTCTGTTTCTATGACTTTGAACTCGACGGCACGCATGCCGCCTCTGACCAGGAAAATGTCTCCTTTCTTGATGGGTCTGTAAGCTTCCAGGAAGTAGGGCTTCAGGAAAACTTCAAACAGGTTTCTGTTGGAAAACAGGAAAATGTTTTGTTTTGTTTTTTAAAGAAAGAACCAAATCCATCACACATAAAGTTAAAGAGTGCATAGAAGAAGACTCAGATCAATTTAGACACTGACGGAGAAGAGGAGTGGGAAGTGGTTGTTTGTACTGGTGATTGTCTTGCACAGCAGACTGTAAGAGTAGGATCAACAGTGTATTGTTCCCTGGTGTCAATATGCTGTACCCCAGTCATACGTTCATGCTCAGTTCGAAAATAATTGCAGCGTCTAGTCACTTCTTTATCTTGCATGGTTCTATAATAATTACAGCATCTAGTCACTTCTTTACCCTACACAGTCCTACAATAATTACAGCATCTAGTCACTTCTTTACCCTGCACAGTCCTACAATAATTACAGCGTCTAGTCACTTCTTCACCATGCTTGGTTCTTTAATAATTACAGCATCTAGTCACTTCTTTACCCTACACAGTCCTACAATAATTACAGCATCTAGTCACTTCTTTACCCTACACAGTCCTTCAATAATTACAGCATCTAGTCACTTCTTTACCCTGCATGGTTCTATAATAATTGCAGTATCTAGTCACTTCTTACCCTGCAAGTCCTTCCACTGTGTCATCAATTGGCAGAACATGGATCCTCTTTCCATATTTCACATCAGGACATGGCTGAATACTGAAAGAGAAAACATGTAAAAAAAAATTACAAAAGAGTTGGAACTCACCTCTAATCAAATACATAAAAACTGTACTTCATTTTTAGTAAGTTTTATGGCACTTGCGCACAAATAGGCCATATTAGGGACTGAAAATTAAAAGTTACTGGACTGGAGAGTAACATACAATAAAAAGAATGAGCGATAAGGACAATAGATGTTTGACAAGAAAGAAGGAGCAAATCACACACAAATGCACTTCATATGGAAACTAGCCTAGTATCAAGCTAAATACATTATAACCCTTGCCCAAGACAAGTCAAGGTATAACTTCCTCTCCTATCCTTTCCAAACTGCAGACTCTATGCGCAATATATGATCATTGAAATAACAATATTGTTTAAAGATAAAATAACCCTACAAAATTCATACTAGCACTTTCAAAAAGTTCTTGAGAGCAAAGACTAAGGAAATACCTGACAATGTCTCCGAGACGAACACGCAAGTTGTTGCGAACACATCTGTTGATTCTGATTTTGTCGTCGCCGACGGAATCATCCGACAGCACAATGCACACTGTCTCTTTCCTTCGCTTGCCTTTCAGCAGCACTGTGTCGCCTCGAAACAGCTGGAGCTCATCCATCTTTTTCTGTGAATCAAAAATACTTTTATTTTAAACTACAGGGTTTTTTAAAACTAATAGCTTTTTGACACCCCTCCCCCCATGCAAGCACATATCTTTACCAAAGGGCCTGCCTACAATTGTATATACATATTTCTTATAAGGCAAAAACATAACGCCACACCCAGCATATCACCCAACTATGGCATCAGTTGTTGAAGTAGTACACATCTCAATCTGATGACTGGTAGGTTTTTTCCTGGTTAACTTCATTTAATCTGTCAAAAATGAAATTTTGAGCACATTTTCAGGGATTTTTTTTGGGGGGTGTTACTCGTCAAAATAATCCCAATGTGAGTCACACACGCAGAAACTTAAAACAAAGGAATCATGAACGTATGACTTGTCTTTGTTGAATCAAAGGTTAGGAAGAAATTATGTAAGAGATAATCATAATGAAACGAAGTGGCTAGCCGTACTTAAGTACGGCTAGACTGCCAGTCTAGCCGTACTTAGATCTAGGTTTGGCCCAATCGACTCAAGCCTGTTGAGTACACAGGTCTCATTAGATCTAGATCTAGTAATTATTCAGGTTCAAATACATGCAAGTCAGTAAGGCACCTTTTGGTTTTGTCTGAAATACAAATACTTTAGGCATTGCAAACCACAAATTTCATTTACAATTCAGCCATCAATATTAAGTACGGCTAACCTGACAGTCTAGCCGTACTTAACTTAGGCCCTATTAACATTAGAAAACAGGAGGTTTAAAATACATGCACTGTCATTGAGGCTAAGGCACCCTGGTTTAGTCTCAAATACAAATATTTTAGGCACTGCACACTAAAAATGTATATTTACAATTCAGTAGGCCTATTTTTTGTAAATGGTCAGTCTAGCCATCATATTAAGAATGAGTACGGCTAGCCTCTTCCATAATGAAAAGAACTGATGAACACTGACAGCCTTCTCCCATTGTTGCAGGATTTCCCAACCAACCCTGTGACTGTTGCTGAGTGCATAAGGAGTTAACGTTTACCTGGGAGAGGGAGACAACAGAGTTGTCTTCATTGACAGCCTCTTCCACAAGGAGTCTGTTGGGGCGCTCCTTGCGTCGGAGGATGGCCGTAGCCAAATCTTCTTCACTGAAAATTTAAAAAAAAACATATTTCATATTACAAAAACAGCCACGGAATACATTCTTTCCCAGAACTCTTTTCACTCATCAAATCATAACATAGTAAATACTTTATATTTATAAATATAACCGTTTTAGCTGCCATATTTTTAAAAGATCCCGATTTTTGCTAAATTTGTTCAAATGATATGACGTGAATCAAAAAGTTAAGATCAATCACAGACTCAAGTGAAAAGAACAAAATTGCTAAACTCACAAACTAGTAAAACAGGCCTTCATTTTACTTATTAAAGCTAAACAAATATTTACGAAAATGACCTCACAAATGTGCTTTGATTCACAGCTGATGAAATTAATTCCCTGAAATTTTCCATTCAAAAAGGACAAAATGACTGCACATGTGATCCATAGCAAGTCTCTTCCCCTAGCAGTCGGGGGAGGTAGCCCAATATAATAGGCCTAGCCACTCCAGTTAACAATAATGATAAGTAGGAAATATGATCATAAAAATAACAGAACTGACTACAAACAGGAAATCACATGAAAACGTACAGTAGTTTATAGTACAGAGGACTGAGCAAAAGGGCACAACACTATCTATCTAGATCTAGGCCCAGGCCTAAATTGGTTAGACCTGACGGCTTTGTTAATTGTTTAGTTTGACTTTTTGACTGTTCTGAACTAAGGGTTCCAGTCAAACTGGTACAAAGCAGTGTTGTGCTTTAATAAATAAAAATAAAAGAGCAAAAACTAAAAACTTGTCCAGCATACTAATGAATTATTATGAATGGGAAAAAAAGGAGCCGAGATTAATGAAAGGGAGTGTATACAGACCGGGTAACCCGGAACAAAGTCACAAAGTATAAAGACCCGGTAGGGGAACTCCTTTGCGATTTCCGAAAGTTTCACCGCCCTCTTGGCTCAGGGTAGACCATAGATGTACACTACCAAGGCTCTTCTAGATCTATGGCCTAGGTCTAGATCTGGACAGACAGACATTTATCTTTGATCTAGTTTCAAGGCTAGCCTAGATCTAGAATCTAGATCTAAATGAAGATTGCGGATGTCTTTTCGATGAACGATCGTTTTTCCTCCGTTTTGGAGTTGGAAGAATCACAATTTGAAGAAAAGAACAATGTCATAATTTCAATCGAGCAGTCACCCTCTCTATTTCTCCTCCACCCCTCTCCCTCTCTCACACACACACCTGACACACTACCGGGTCTGGGCGCTGAAACTTTCCGAAATCACAAAAGAGTTCCCCTACCGGGTCTGTATACTTTGTGACTTTGTTCCCGGTTACCGAGCCTGTATACACTTCGTTAATGAAAAGAAACAGGCCCACACAAAATGACATCACGCGTATCTTATGAATTCATAACATAAATTGTGTCGAAGACCAAAGACAAAGTGTAGATTTCATTTTCTTTGAAAAAGCTTTTAGAGAAGAGCCACTTTAACTTTAGAAAATGCAGCACTTTCATTAACTGTTGTGTCACATTCCAGGTCTGTGGCTGGTTGGCCATTGAATTCATTCATGGTGGCACAAATTGCAATCATATTTCAAGGCCTATTTCAATTGCCCCAAAGTCTAAGGCAAGGCTTAGTCTAAGGCACTAGACTAGACAAAGAAAAGGCTTTACCTTGCCATGACAAGATGGTACAAAGAGAATGGTTTTGGTGGTTGTCCTTTGTAAACAACAAAGAGATCTACACTATGGTTCCAGGAGGTGTAGTCACTCACTACCAGCGACAAGAAGACCTACTGATGAAGGCTAGGCTACCACCATCACCCACCACAGGTTCAGATAATAATCTATAGAACTCGACCTAAACCGGAGATTTAGGCTCTCGCAATCGATCACACTGATTTTAGAATAACAACAAAACTCTTTTAAACAGAACAGAAGCAGAGGAAAGTATCCAAGATAGAACACAGGAGTTCTCTAGACTGTTCTCCACTCGTGCCCCAACCATGAACTGACAGAATTGAAGCAACGCTTGTTCCACAAAGGACACGTTGTTTTGCTGACGTCAGTTCATAAACATAGTAACTAGGTCAGGAAAGCCCCCTGCCTGGTCTGATTTCGCTCAATACTTCGAACGGTCGAACGCTCCGCAAATAATTTTGTAAATAAAACAAGAACTAACAAAATAAGTGAAATACAGCACATTGAAACATTGGAACGAAAATACATAGATCTAGTACAAATACCCCCCCCCCCAAAAAAAAAAATTCCCAATCGAGAGACATCGTCGTTCATCATGAGTCAGTGACTAAACAAAATAGAGAAATGTTTCGGTTTCATTTTCCGAGAGGAGTGAACTTGCCGGTAGGCCAACGAGTTATGACAAAGCGCCGAGGTCCGTTTTCTAATTACTTATGAAACACAGAAGCAGAAAAATCCTCCTCTTATAATTAAATTGTACTCACGCTTTAGCCTCTGGAGTAGCCATTTCCTCGGTGACTTCGGAAAAAATTAATATTACAAGGGCAACAAAAGCAGATCACTAAATCTAGTCTACTGCGCTGTTGCCTGCTCTGGACTCTGGTTCAGTTCTGCCGACGTTCGTTTCCGTTCAAAATGGTGGACATTGTCGTGTATCGTCGGGTCATTCCGGCAGGTATTTATATTGTAGGATTGGAATAGTTTTTATACTGAGAATAAAAGGCAACAACAACACTGATTTTTTATTGTACCCAAGGAGATTAAAAGTTCTAAACTTCTTGATTGTACCCAAAGAGGTTATCTTCATAACAGAGACCGTATATTATATAGATCTAATCACTGTCTCCATGATAGTTTATCTTGCCAAAAAAAAAATGTTAAAAAGGCCTACATTATTTACTTAAACAGATATTGATTACTGATTTATGTAATATTATACTGGCCCTCTTTTATGCACATTTTATATCTGATCTCTCTGTCTCTCTGTCTCTCTGTCTCTGTCTCTGTCTCTCTCTCTCTCTCTCTCTCTCTCTCTCTCTCTCTCTCGCTCTCTCTGTCTTTTGTTACGCGCGCGCGCGCGCGCGCGCGTGTGTGTGTGTGTGTGTGTGTGTGTGTGTGTGTGTGATATAGTGATACTCCTTTCAAGGTTGAGCTCTTATACGTGACGTGTAAAAAAAATCGATCTTTTATTAGCTTATGTAAACTGAACAGAAAAAAAGAGAAGTCAAGATACCTGCATCTGGCTGAAATTACTAAAGAGGATATGAATCGGGAAAAATCATTACATAAATATGCATACATTATTACACACAGCCATATTCAGCCTGGGGTTAACTAAGCAACTTATTCTGGGATTTTAGGAGAGTCATACGTTGAAGGCCTATAATAGGCGTGTTACTCATCGGCCTTTAATTGTACCCCCCCCCCCCCCCCCCCCACACACACACACCCTACATATATAGGCATACGCAGAAGAAAGTTCCTTACAAAGGCCTTTACGGGCCCCGTGTTTTAAAAAATACTTTTTATTATTATTTGGCTGTCATGAGGCTTTAAGATAAGGAGGGGATGGGAAAGCCAGAGGGTGTTTTTTTGTGTGCTGTATTTTAATGCTTGTCACTGTCGTATACTTTCGTCTCCACTTTCTGCCCAAAAAATATTTTTTGGCATCAATTATTTCGGGGTTTCTTTTCTTTTTTTTGATGGTGGGAGGGGTGGGGTATGTCCATTAAACATCTATAGTTAAATATTATGTATAATAGAAGGCCAGTTTACATGTAGTCTACTCACTTTATGTACACTGTAGGCCTATATTTGTTTTAGTAGAGTTCTTACGGCGCTCGCAACTACATAAGGAGTAGAAGTAGAAAGGCTGCAGAAAGAGTCAGGAGCCCACGAAGAGGGGGCAAAGGAGGTGTGGGGGTGGTGGCAGAAAGTGGAGACGAAAGCAGACGACAGAACATTGCTTGAGAGCAGGAAAGAAGGTGAAAGGAGACTATTTTTGAGAAGAAAATTTTCTTAAACTACCCGGATTCCAACCCGGAACCTTTGAATGAGAGGTGAACACCTTAACCTCTAACCCATGAGAGTCCCTATATACATTTGTAAATAAATATTATATAATATATAAATAAAGTATATATATAAGTATACTTATATACATACACCATTTATGTATACATGTGAGGCGGTTTAGATGCTTGATCATTGTCACTCAGGTTGGAAGCCGTTCCCCTAAATGATCTAAACTGTGTTGATTTGATCGTGGCATAAAAACACCTACTTAAGAAAACAAAACAACCTATCTATAGATAATTAATTATTTATTGTGTGGTGTCCATGGCTAATACTTAGAGTGTTTGGCTCACAACTGGAATGTTATGGGTTCAATCCCCATCATGGACCCAAAGTTGTGCCTTGAGAAAGCCACCGTACACGCATTTTCTTTTCTTCTCCTAAGAGTAAGAGAGAACGGCCCTCCTAGACAGCATAAAATGTGGTCAGTTTGTTAGTGTTTAAGTGCTTCATTGGCTATGTGCACAGTATGCTTTTTATGAAGCCGAGAATGTATCTGAGTGTTCTACAGTCTGCTGGGGAAATTTTACAAATAGTATGTAGATTGTAAAGTGCATAGAGATTGCAGTTGAGCTAAGATATGCACTAGCCAATTAATGCTATTTATTATTAGGCCTATTATTATTATCATTACTATTACTATTATTATCATTACACAATTACACATATATACACGCACACACACACACTCTCTCTCTCTCTCTCTCTCTCTCTCTTTATATATATATATATATATCTGTTTCACCATAGCACTTTTATATCTGTTGTATCACTGTTGTGCACCATGTGCTCAAAGTCAAAGTCATCTTAAATTTTTAAAATCTAAAAATAGAACAATTTGTTTTAAAACCTTCCCTGGGGAATATTTAATTCTTTCCATTATTATCTCTCAACAAAGGCTCATCATTGGGTCCACCCTCATTCCTCATGTGGAGAGCCCCTCCCTCTTCTCCATGACAACCCCTTCTTCCATCACATGCAAACATAACCCCTCACCTCCTCCTTTCTCCCTCATTTAAAAAAAAAGGGCCCTCCTCATCTGCCACATATCTTCCCCCAGTCCCTCCTTCTCTCAGAGGCTACCACAGCAGAGAAAGGACGCTTATTTTAATTCAGGTTCTGACTTCATCATCGCAACATCATCCTCACCAATTATAAAGTAATGCAGGATCAGAGGCTGGATGTAGTGTCCTTGACTGGGGACAGACTGAAAACTTTCTGTGTTCGTCCAAGGTAGGCCTACCAAGTGTATCTAAGTCAGTACATTAGCAGCGGAGAAAGGAAAAAGTCACACAAAACTTCTCGCTTGGAAATTTCTTTGTAAAATGTTTTATTGTATCCATTGTAAGGTTCGTATAAAAACATATTAATAATAAAAATAATAATAATGATAATAATAATAATAATGATAATTTTTTAAAAAATCAAAAAAATCTGTATTTTTAATAATCCTCTAAAAGCTAATTGCTGCAAAACAGGAAGCTAAAACCCAGAGCCCACTATACAACATGTGAAAGCGAGATGCCAAAATAATGTCACTCTCTGGTAGATGTTCCCTGGTATCAAACAACAAGTCAGTTTCTCCATCTCGTTCTACATCATCTCATGCTAATACTAATACCTCGTTTCAAATCATTTCACTGTACGTGATCTCATTTCACATAAAATGCTCATGGATGCCACACTTCTCTCCTTTTTTTTTCCTTCACCTTATTTCAAATTGTCTTGCTTGTTTTACATTGTCTCCTTCCACATCATCTCATTTTTCTCCATCTTCTTCCACATCATTTACTTTTACATTACATCATTTTATTCCACATATATCTCATTTTACATGGTCTCAATCCACATCATCTTGTTTTACTTCATCTCATTACACATGATTTCGTTTTACTTCATTTCATTCCAAATCACCTCATTATTATATGTCCTCCTATTCCACATCATCTCAATTAAGAGTTCATCTCATTCTTTGTCACTTCATTTTACATCATCTCATTCCACATAAACAAATAAATCTTGGCTTGTTAGCACAATTGCACATGTTTTTATCACAAAATAAACAAAGTCTCTCTCTCTCTCTATTTTTGCTATCTCATGGTTAATTTATTTACATGCAAAAACTGCTGAAAAGATAAAATTGCGTAAGAGATGAAACCTATAAAATATTGCTAGAAACGCCTTCAGTATTGCAGTGGTTGAATCAGTATATACATGTACATCATCTCTAAGAATGTGCTTTCAAGGGCAGGTCATTATGATTACTGCGATGACATTGCACAGAGTCAGGACTGAGAGAAATACCCCAGCTCTCTGCCCTACAGATACCAACTAAAAACTAAGTACACAATGCAATATATAAGAAAAACCCGGTTAAAAGTGCTAGAAACCATACCTGCTTCAGAATATTATCTCGATCATACTTGCCTTTGACTTAAAAGTAGTCAGCTATTATGTATTCATTTTTTGTGAATGCATTTTGAAATCCCCCCTATAATCCGCATTTTTTTTCCCGAAGAGTTTCATTTTTTACAGCTCATACGGCACAGTGCTGCCATATGCATGGTGTTTTCTCTAACAGCATCAAAATGGAAAAGCTATGAACCTAATATGTCTTCTGGTTCACTGTTGATGTGTCCACATTACCTCCTTGCTCATTTTGTGACAAAATTTCCAGGGAAAAGGCGTATGAAAAATTTGGAATATAATTATACCCTTGTTAAAAATAAAATCTGCAGTATAATATACTTTAGTACAAATTACAGCCTACACATACATACATATATATATATATATATATACACATGGTACTTCACTTCTGTTCCAACCAGGGAAAGGAGTAAGACAACACGCAATATTATAGTTTTAAGTAATTTGCACTACACCCTAAAAGAGTCAAATTTCTTAAGAATGCAGAAATAAAACAAGTAGCTAGCCCAAAGCATTCAAACCCTCTTTCATGATATACTGTAAAGCGAACAAGTAATACTAAACCACCAAACCAGATATTAATGTATGGCAAAACATCTCATAAAAAGCGTACGGGATAACAGACAAGATAAGCACAGTGTAATTTTTACATTCGTTATAAAAAAAAAAGAGTTATAATAATATATATATAATACTGCTGAAGACACGATATGGTCTTGTTTGGCAGACTGAAGATTCTTCTCCCAGAAATGAGGTAAACAGCTCTGATTATTTTGGCAAGCCCCTTTTTAGTGAGTGAAACCTTAGCGTGTGCTCTGATTCTTCTCAACTTATGTGATAGATAGCATTAAAACCAAGGGGCAATATTTTCTTCTTCTTCTGCTGCACATGCCGCATCTGAAAGAGACATCAGCGATCATGGTTCACCATTATTTAGTTCTTAAAATTCAGTTCACTCCCCCTCCCCCCTCCCCTCCCACACACACCCAAACACTTTTTATTGAGGGTATGCAACAGCACAAATTTAGTGAACATCGGCAAGGCGACCAATCATATCCAAGATTTGCCCGTCGACATTGATGGGCGGGGCCTCAGAACGACGACATCCGCGCTCAGACAAAACAAAACGGCAGTCCCGCTCCAGTCTGAGAAGTCCGTCGACGAAACTCAACACATTGGAGTGGTCCACGTTCTGGAGACTGTAGTGGACGTAGAGCTGCTCCGCCAACTTTCGCCGGTAAAAATCTCCTCTGTCTCCCGGCAGACCCTCGTCTTCATGGTGACCCTGTGGTGGGAGCAGAGGAAGGTCAAGGTTACAGGAGTAATGTTTGTGAGCATGAGTGTGCGCACATCTGTGTAGTGTATGTATTTGAGTGTGCATGTGTGCGAGTGTATGCGTGAAAGCGCATGGTGACCTTGTGGTCAAGGTTACAGGAGTTATGTTTGTAAGAATGAATGTGTGCACATCTGTGAGTGTATGTATGTGTGTTTGTGTGTGTGTTTGTCTGTGTTTGTGGGTGTGAGAGCACATGTTTGCGTATGTATGTGCGCATGCTTGTGTGTGTGTGTATGTGTGTGTGTGTGTGTGTGTGTGTGTGTGTGTGTGTGTGTGTGTGTGTGTGCAAGTATTTTTTTTGGGTGTGTGTGTATGGGTGTGTGTGAGCATGTGTGTGTTTGCGCTTGTCTGTGTGTGTATGTTAGCGCCAAGCTAGTACTACAACTCTGTGAAATAGGCAGCCACCTAAAACATTGACACTGAAGTAAACATATTATAAATGACAACTGGGAGAGAAAGCAGGGTGGGATGGGGGCAGTTCTAGACACTAGTAGTCCTTTATTACTTTATATCAAAAGATGAAATATAGGAATACGTCAAAAGCAAATCCCTCTCCAAAAAGTCAAGCTTGATTTCCAAAAGTTTTCTGAGTACAGCTGATTATAAATCATTGATAGAATCTGACATAATGAGGGTCTATATCTTTTTTTTTTACAGCCAGTAGCCATGATGCCTTTGCCAAAGCGATTCAACGATAACATCTTACAAGCTGTGAATTAAATGTATGTCTTAAGGGAATCCCAACCACAATTCAAGATCTCAAACCAAATTAAAATGAAATCTAAAAAATCATAATAGAAATGAACGGCAGTGGTCATATGTTTCGATGATATCTTCGACAAAAGACAGAGAACTAAGCTGAGAAACACTAAAAAGGCAACATATGAGGGGCTGATATGCAAAACCCGTTACATCCATTTTAGTATTTTTGAGAAAATCAGCTTTTTTTAATGCTGCGATACGCATAAACAAGCATAAAAAGATTTTTTGGTGGCTTTTATGAACTATGCATTGGGCTTTGACTGAAAACACTTTGTGCATCTGATAGAAGGTAACTAATGTGCATTTATAGGCAAAAATTCTCGACTTTTTCCAAAATTTTGCTAAGCCGGTTTTGCGTCCCCCCCCCCCTCAAATATAGGAGCTACGAAAAAAGAATGCAGGGTAGATCAGTATGTCATTCATCCAGAGGTGCATCAGCGAGTTACCATTCACAGTGTAAAGTACATCTTTCAAACCCACTCTTCTAAGGTACCGTAGATGAAAACATCATTTCTACTTTGAGGTAAACGAGTACCGTATCTTATTTATTGTACTATGAGGTACGTATAAATCAGTGCATCTTTCAGTGAGGTAGATTGCAATATCTTTCATAGGCCCTTTGAAGTAGATCACTTTATTATTCATACCTTCATACCCTCTGTGAGGTAGATAAATGTACATTATTTCTACTGTACTATGACGAGGCAGATGAGTACATCATTTAAACTATGACACAGACCAGTTCATCATTCATAAACTCAGTGGTATGACTAAAACATCAGTCATACTGTGACTGTGAGGTAGATCAGCACATCATTTGGTCGATTTTAAGCACAAGGGGGCTACCCCGAAAAATGCAGTTTTGCTCCTTGTTCAGTTTCTTTGAAAGACAAGGAGAGTTTTCTCTATAACCAAACAAATATACACACCAACGAAACCAATCTTCTCCAATAGGTACGGCAATGCCCACTTTTGGTGTAGGTCAAGATTTCTGGAAACTCCCGAAATCTGGGTTAGCCCGCCTGTCCTTATACTACAGGTAAGTCAGTCATCAATTATATTCATATAGTCACAACAAATAGTAGCCCAGTACATCATTTAGAGACCCTGTGAGCTAGATTAGTGCCTCATTCATAATGACTGTGAGTCAGGAAAGTACATCACTTACACTTTGAAGTAGTTTGACACATTATTCATAATTTATTTACACTTTGAAGCAGTTTGACAAATTTTTCAAACTGTATCTAACATCTGCGTTTGTTGCCATTTTTTTGTCCAAAAGTTACCACAAAAAGTGGCAAAAGTTGCCATTAATTTTCAAGCTTTCAAATCTCCGTGACGACGTATATAGCAATATGTTGATACAGGTAACAATCAAAACACCAGAATTTCTTGTGCTCTGCGTTTTAAGCATCCAGATTATCATTTGTAGTCACCCAGAGTGTAAAAATGTGAAAAATAAAGGTTTCACAACAGAATGAAATCAAATTTAGAACAGCACGGATAAATAACCACAAAAATTAACAAAATCCGAAAATTGGTCGTCTTAACCCTAAACGTGAGTAATTCAAGAAAAAGTAGGCCTACAGGATTACATTACATGTAAATTATGGAATCACACACTATTTGGGCGTGCCAGTGTCAGTATTCGGTTTTGGTGGAGACACGCTCTAACATAACACATTTATATTTTTAAAAAGGTAGGAACAGCATCAAATTAAATGACATTACGTTGTATAACCACAAAAAAAGAAAAACAAATCATAAGAAAATATTTTGGAAAAATTAACACACCAACAAATTAAAACACAACAAAGAGGGAAAAATATATAAAGACAGACAGCAATATAAATAGTATGTAATGTAATGTACTTATACTCTGCGCATGAAAATAGAAACATATGGATATCTTAAAAATTATGAAAATTCATTTCTAATATGTTATGAAGTGGCTTTGTTGTTTTGTCTTTTTTGAAAACTGCAAAAATCGTGGCCGCGATTCGCGGACCAAAAAATGCCAAAAATCGCGACCGCGATTCGTGGGTCGCGGCTGCGATAAACGCAGATGCTAGCTGTATACAGTAACATTATTCATGCTCACTGCTGTGAGTTAGAAAAATACATCATTTACTCTTTGTTGACTTATTGTTTTAGTAGAGGTTTTACAGCGCTCGCAACTGCATAAGGTCATATGAGCGCCAGAAGATTAGAGGTGTTACAAGAGAGTAACCAACATAAAAAAGAAGGAGGGGAGATAAAGACGATAGATGTTTGATAGGAAAGAAGGAGCAAACCACACCAGAGCACCCACCAACCACCCACTTTGTTGACTTAGTTTGACACATTATTCATACTGTGTGGAATACAATAACATTACTCCTACTCTCTGTGAAGTATACAACAATATCGTTCCTACTACTCCCTACTCACTGTAAAGTACACAACAATATTCTTCCTACTCACTGTGAGGCATACAACAACATATCATTCCAACTCACTATGAGGTATAGAACAATATATCGTTCCTACTCACTGTGAGATATACAACATCGTTCCTACTCCCTACTCACTGCGTGGTACTCAACAATATCATTCCAACTCACTGGGGGGTATACAACAACATATCGTTCCTACTCACTGTAAGGTAGACCAGTACATCATTCATACTGGCCAGCCTGTGGTGCCGGGTGAGCATCCTCGTATTGTTCATCAACAAAATGACTTTCTCACAGGCTTTCAGCGCCATGCGATGCATCGTGCTCACCGGCATCATGCGGTCTGATGCGACGCTCACGCAGTCTGACCTTGAGTGTGGAGTGCTGCTTCGAAGCAGTTCGTAGCCCAAGTTGAAGGTGGACATGGCGATGTCTGTTTGGATGCTCACCAGTGAACTGAACAGACACGAAACCAACATAACCAAAGGATTAATCATGGAAAATATTAATTGTTGACTCTTTGAATAAATCATCAATGACTTTGCAAGCAACAGAGTGATTGCACTGATGTCTGTTGTGTAGCAGCTAAGTGTTTCCCTATCCCACACAGGAGTCCAGTGTTCGATTCCCATTTAACATCCACATTTAAAAACAAAAAAATCTCTCTCCCGTTAGTCATCGCACAGGCCGGGTAAGGAGTGTAGTAAAGAAACAAAGTCAACAGGATCCGACGTGATATTTGGTTTCGGAATGTTTTCAATAAGAAAGTGGCTATTCTCACCCTCCCGGAAGTTCTCGCAAGATCAACTCCTCCCCTCTTCTCTCTCTCTCTCTTTCTGAATACTGTCTATCGGTGTGGATGATCAAATTGACCAAAACCAAGTTAAAAAATGTTAAAACACAAAAGTAAATTTATTTGGTTGTCTACAAAGATGCTACGGCTATTTAACTTTTCGAATCGAGCCGAACTCCGCGGGTCGCCATTTTGTTTTGCCCGGAAATTCTCGCGCTACTCCTCTCTCTCTTTCTCCACTGCCCACAGACAAAATTGTACGCTTTTAGTAGGCTACAGTTGTAATGGAACGTTTGTTCACGGCACAGAATTCTACAATTTTTCTGTTATCCCAGTGTAGAATTCTGTGGTTTAGGGTGAACGCAAAATTTGGTGAACGCGCACCGGGTGAGAATAGCCACAAGACTCGCCTGCACTATTCTCACTCCGGGTGAGAATAGAGGTGGCCTTTCAATAAATAGTCAAATTGTAAAGGAAAGGCCACAGCATATGTGGTCATTACAATAAATTGTACAGGCTGATGAAGAAAATGACAAATTAGTAGTCGCTTTATACATTCAGACAGAAGAATCTCAACAAATATGGTACAAAAAGATATACAGGCAAATGGCAGTCTCAACTTGTACTGCATTAAAAGTAAAAGCACAAACAGGTTACAGACATAACCGATACTCCATAAAAATACAGACACACAGATGGTATCAGCATGGTTACCCATCCATAAAAATACAAACAGACAGATGGTACCAGAATGGTTACCCACTACCCCCCCTCCCCCACTCAGCCTACAGTTTTTGAAAAAAAAAAAAAAAGCCCCCATTGCCCCAAACAAACAAAACATACAAAACTCCCCCAAAAGACGATGGAGAACAAATGCTGTTCAAATCATACAGTCAGGTGTCAGAGTCAAATAATCCGGTCTTTAAAAATACAAACAGCTGGTCGATAACGATTAAGTCGAATAAACAGAGGCAGAGTTTAAAGTGCAGAGATAGGAAGAGTTAGCGCAAGCATAGGGGCCTAGTCAACAATACAATCTTTAAAAATACAGACAGAAACAAGAGCAAAAAATACTAAAAATCAGAATACTACATTGCATGAATGTTATTAAAATTAAAATTCCGTTGAGCAGGTCTTGCAAAAAAATATATCAAGGAGGTCGCACCTTCTAAAGTCTTGAAAGTCCGGTTTCAATTCTGTGCATGGCAACCACCCGTAAACAACGGTTTGCGGAAGTGGAAATGGTTTCAGACAAGGGACGCTACTCACGAATTTCAAAGAAACAAAAAAAAAAGGCCTCGTCCTTGAAGAGAGACAACTCAATATATACTAAGTATTTTCATTATAGACAGCTATGGTTGTTTCCCTTGTTTAGAGATAAACCCAAGACCATGCGAAACAGAGAATTTCAGTAAGCTGTCAATGCAGTTTAGTTGACTTTCATACATTGTTTAGAAATTGAAATACAAACCAAAGGAAATGGCAGCCTTCTTGTGGGAACGATCAATGTGAACAATCCTTACAATACACATAGAGTCACTGCAGGCGAACACATACAAAGTTACACCCATAGCACCCTCATTCAGTACACATTCACACTCCTCTCTCTCTCTCTCTCTCTCTCTCTCTCTCTCTCTCTCTCTCTCTCTCTC